GCTTAAACTGTCATCTTTTGATTGCTGAGAACCACATGTCTCTATCGTTTATTGTTTTTGAGTTATTCAAAAAACAACGGAGTGCATTATATTTTGGGTTGAATAATAGTTTTAACAAGATGATAACGAAAAAATGTGTGAGCACAGTGAGTTTTTACAATAGATCTACGTTGTGACCTAATTCCCAGCGGAAAAACGTCTATACCTATGTCTTGTGTGTAAAATCATTTCGCAGAGCGAATATGGACAAAGGTTTGGGTTAACTCTATCAAACACTTCGCGAAATACGTCATGAGTGTTTATTTGTCCGAAAGAGTTTTAGGATCTTTACTCGTATGACTTAGTGATTATTAACACAGTGACAAGGATATAGGATGTTTGATATAAATATTTGAATACTAGCAGAGCTCATTATTTTTAACTCTTATCTTCACAAATCTTTATTGGTTATCTAACGATTTTGAAAAGCATTGCCCTTACAAAAGATTGTTTCCTATGATGCTCTAAGCAATTACTCTGTTGATTTCTACTTTTCTTCTTCATACATTATCTTCTCATCTTTTTCTTGTAATCTGTAGTGCTATACAGTAAAACGTCTCTATTGTAATAGACACCTCCGTACTCTGGGCAGTGAACACTTTTTTGCGGTCTCTGCTGCTAAAATAACCTCTCTAAGGTGAGCGCATGAAAAATATGAAACGGCGCACAAAACACATTAGACGAGTAGCTAAAAGAATAGAGAAATGTGAAATAAAACAATAAAATAAAAATAAATATGATTTAGAAAGTTGAGAAGTAGTGCGAGTTTACATTATTGGAGTGTACGAAGGGGAAAAATGTGCAACCTCCCTAATCTCCACATAGTGGACACGTCACTCTAGTCCCGAGGGTGCTCACTACAGAGAGGTTTTACTATAAAACGTACGCACACTAATCGTCTACGATTCAATATCTAGGACACAGAAAACACTTACTCGGGTTTAAATTCTCCGTCTATCTTTGTTCAAAAGATATCGTCAATGAATGGTTATTGAATCTGACTCTTTCGATCTCTCATGTATCAAATTTATCTTTTGTCGCTCGTACATTGATTGCATAATTTAATCCAAAACACATCCATTTTTCTCTCATTCGAGTACTATAAAAAATAATGAATAATATGGAGACTATTATTTCATATGTTCATAGTCAACGATAGTGATTGTACAAACGTACAATTTATTCAGATTATTTTACTTTAACTCTTGTTTATGTCTTTCTTGTAGGCAACTACTTAAGCATAAAAAACTATTTTGCTCCTAATTTATCATTCCATCAGCCTCTGCTTTGACATATCTACTCTATGTAAGTAAAGGAAATTTGGGTTATAACTGTCAATCAATGTCCTCGACAAATAACTTTCTTTTAAATACAAAGAGAATATTTCTATACGTTATGACTCGAATTATTGAATTTCTTTTGTTTTAAAAACAATTTTTTACCGAGGAAAAGTCGGTTTAAACTAGCAAATCATATTAATAACTTCACATCATTTTAAATGCAGTATATCGTTGAAAATAGTCAAAATTACACATTGACTACGCGTGACATTAAACAAATATGACATGTCAACGCACTCATTATACATGCTAATTTCTTTTGACAAATCATCTGTGATAACAAGAATAATAATAATAATAATCAATATGATCTATATTTCAGAATAGCAGCACAGAAACTATACATTTTTTCTTAATTGTCAGGATTTTTCTTTGCAACAGTAAAAATATGAGAAAAAAATATGTTGTGTATATATGTTACTTATTTTTCTTTTTTTATCTGTGAGAATAATACAGTCTAACAGAATATATATATATACAACAAGAGGAGTTGGAAATTGATTTTCACATTTTTTTCTTTGTCCTTTATAACAATGGCTACTATTTGGCGTCCCTATGATTCCATGTACAAAATGCCAACACGTTACAATAATGGTTATTATTCGGTAAGATTCTTTTTAAAATCTGTTTTAGTTGCTTTCTCTTGTTAATGTTAACCGTTTCTTCCTTTCTCATCATCTAGTTTTAGAAAATTGTTTAGAAAAATAACCTGAAAATCTAAAAATAAATAAATAAATAAAATAGCATTAAAAAGTCATTTGAACAGATAAAAAGTGAGTAGATTAGCGAACGTTGATTTATAACTTTTATTAAAAATAAGTAGGTAGAATGTAGGAGTATACATTATAAGATGATGTATATCATTCTTTTGGGGTTCTTTTAAAATTTGAAAATGAATAATACTTCTCTTCACTTATTGATTGTCTTTAGTTTTTTCGGCGTTATTACGATGATACTACAGTAGATATTGTCAAGGTTTTCTTGTATTTATATGAACCTAATAGCGCGTATAGCAAAGAAAAAAAATCACTTATCGATACATAGTTTAGACCTTCTTTTTATCATCCTTTTTTTATTTTCCTCTAAGAGAAATATTTATACAAAATAGAGAGAAAGATCTTGTAAAAATAATGTATGTCTAATAAAATACAATTTATCAATTAACGATGATTTCGTTTAAAATAACTTCAATAGTAACTAGCTAATACTCGGAAAAATCTATTTAGTTTAGCAATAGACGACACATGTTTTTGAGAAATAAAGCTTATCAACTATTGATGACTTCTATTCGTTATGATCTTAATCTATACTGAACATAGAATCAATAAATATAACAGTAAGTAATAGTAGACACAAACGTGAAAAGTGATTCCCGTTTGTTTTGATGAAAAATTAAAACATGAGCTATAGTGTAGAAAATCAATTGTGTATACAATTTGTTTAGAATACTTCATGTCATACTATTTCGAGGACATAAGAGACTCACCGAAAAAAACAAGTTTTTATCAATTTTTTTATCTCACTCAGCTCAGTACAATCTTTCACTGTGATTTTATGTGTATTAAGGGACGCACCTTGACCTTCAGAGCAGGGAAGTAAAATAATTTTTTTGGTGAACATGTTCACAGTGTGTATAGAAACAAGTAACGATTTTTTCTGGCTTCGCTGGCGAAAAACCAAAAGTTCATAGAAAACAGGATGAGGATTACTCTTCATCCACTTGTTATACTTCTGTATGGATTAAACATGCGCGAATTGCTGAAAAGTGCCTCATGACTAGGATGGTGATTATAAGTTAAAAAATGCACTTATCAAAAATTACTTCGCTTGTTTGGCTAATCCTGAAATTTTGATTACAATTAACGTGACTATTTTCTTTTCCACAGCGGCAACATTACCTATATGATCCAAAATATACATTTTTGGCATCAAAACCGTCTATCTACAGTAGTGCTGGTATAAATACAGCTGTTAATCGTAATCGAGCATCATCAACAACCCGAACCTCAGCTCCTCGGCCACATTCGTCTTATTCTTCATCGAAACAGCCGTTAAACAGTACTCGTTCATCATTAGACATTATGAGTGCTCCACCAACATCATCCCCACCCAATCGTTGCGATGACTGTTCGGCAAATGACGGCCTATTTCAATGTTGTCATTGTAATCAACGGCTATGTATTCGATGTTGTAATAAACATTATAAATCGATGACAGTTGAATTAGAACGTTTACATGATATGTCAGAACGTTTAATACAAAAAATATATCAGACAAAAAACGATTTAGAACGACAAAAAAATGAAACAATTGAACAGTGCCATAAATGGAAATGTGATACTATCAATACGGTGAATAAAGCACATGCACTAATCATCCAAACAATTTATGATGAATATGAACAATTGGGAAAAGAATACGAGACATACGCTCAAAATGAAATGAAATTAATAAAAGTAAATAAATATGAATTGAATAGAATGAGAAAAGGTGATTTAGGTTTGATATCGAATGACAATGATAGTAGTGGTGATGGTGACGAAACAAATATAAATCCAATTGAAATAATTCGAAATCGAATTGAAACATTAGCAAAGCATATTGATGAAACCGGAACACTTCATTTTGAGGTCAAACTACCAAAATTTGATATTGATGATACACTAAGAGTTGAATCATCTTTTGGTGATAGTACACGAACAACAAGTGCAACATGGAATAATTGTGGCAATGAAGATACAACAAATCAACAAATAACACTATTTCCTGAGCAAACTAAAGTTGATGTAACTAACGAGGTAAATAACTTCATTGTCTGAATGATCCTACTGAATTGTGTATATTTTGATTGCTTTAGGAAGCTGATATTATATCACACGTTCCATCATCAAGATACGCTTTATCGGTTGAGAACGATATCGAACTTCAACAACAGCAATACTACAAACCAACATCACAATTGTCTTCTCGTAATGAACGTTTTGATTCTGCTTATGGCACCGCACCACCGTCGCCTACGTCATCTACAAACGATAAACCATCGTGCTCTTCATTATCACTACATGATACGAACAATAATCTAGAAGAAACGCTTGACTTTGGTTTAATAAACAAATTTTCTGATCCTCTAAAAAGATTGAGTACAACAAACGATACTTTTTTCAATAATCGTCGGCATACACATACGTACGATAGTACATCGACTGATGATCAGCAAGAACAGCAACAATCAAACAATAGTGATAATGATGATACTTACCATTGTATTCAACATGTTCAACTGAAACATGATGATTGGGGCGGCGTTGAAGGTGTAGCCGTACAGGCTGAACGAAGTACATCAACAACAAACGACGGAAATATTGAACGAAAACGAACCACGTTTGAAGCATGTGGCGTTCGAAGACGAACAACCATGTTTCCATCAGCATCATCGAACTCAACAACACACGAATCATCAACGTTACAGCAACCATCTTGGTTGCATTATCGTACGACGTCTACACCATCATTTATTCATTAATTTGATTGAGTGACACCATTACTACTATTTCAATTGTTGGATGCGAGAACCTTATGGCCTCGTTAAAATACCAGTTTCTTTTATTTAACGAAAGAAATCACTGGACATACTCACATATGAAAATTGATCAAGAAATGTATAAGCTAGATATTCTGGATATAATAACTACGAATAAACAGAATTCACGCTTGACAGTCTTTTTTTCATGCATTAATTAATTTTTATAGCTTAATATTATTTTGTCTCAAACTGAACTGTTAAAAGCTTGTTTCATCCGAAAAAGTAGAGTGTGTAGTGTTTTTTTCTTTTTAAAACTACATCCAAATAAAAGCAAACTTCATTATCCACTTTACAATATAGTATAAATGACTTCAAAGCATAAACATAAACATAAACCACCTGTATCCACTGTAGAGAGTTTGTCATATAACACTCTCAAAGATGTCGAACAGTGGATGCTTGCACCACTGATGTAACTAGCTTTCTGTTATTTTTTTCTGCAAACAACGATCAGATCAACTTAACATATAGTAAAGTGGCATCAAAATCACATGAAAATTCCAGATAGTCATTTTCAATGAAAATAATACAGGCGCATAAAACGACAAGAAACAAAATTTCGGTTTTTTGCTGCTAAATCAACCGGATCGCTTATCACGTACTTGTGTTATCATTTATCCTGAAATTTTCATGTGATTTAGGCTGCTTTTAATCTGATCTGATCTATAACTTTGCCCATACAACTATCCTCGACACTTTCCATTTTTCATCCTCAGTCTTCCAGAAAACCCGTTAAAACCTTACTTTATGTTCAGCATTAAGAATTCAATGTACTTCAATGTTTTCTGAGGCTTCTTTGTGTTTCCGTAGCGCAGTTTTCTAAGAAGATTTCTGGAAAACCGAGGATGAAAAATGGAAAGTGTCGAGGATAGTTGTATGGGCAAAGTTATAGATCCTACTAAGTAGTTCGTATCCTGAAAAAATCTCGAAAAATTTTCCGAGCGTTTAGGAGAAAAGCGAGGTCAAACTTCAGGAATTCTTCAAGTAAATGGAGTATCACTCGAATGTAAAGTTAGATCGAGACCAAATTCCTTCACCATTAAAATCAACTCGTCAAGAGCTACAATTTGATGTATAATTATGCAATGTTTGGTTCATTTTCACCGACTTCGGTTTCACCCTCACCAAAACCTTGAGGTGTCTAGAAAAGCACTTTCCACATGTTTTTCCAAAAAAGCGTAAGCGAGACTTTTAGGTTATTTTTGACACGATGGACAAAGTGAAGTTTTCGTGGCAAGATGCTCTGTGTAAAGTGGGCGGACCTGTGTGGAAGCATCCGCAGATAAGACCCTCCAGTCAAAAATTCTTTCCAAATGTCAGAAGAGAAAATCTCATTTGCGGATAGAAATATGCAACTTTGTATGCTCTTTCCAGCTAGCAGTATGAGAACGCTTGATAGTATTAGATAAGGTCAGATTTCGCTGTTCTGGCACCCCTAAAAACGCTTCAATTCAGAACTTATGACCGAGGAAAAACCGTGTT